CCAACGCCGGCGACGATGAGCGCAGCAACAAAGGCACACTGTCGCGTCTGGGCTTTGCGCGCAGCTCGAGGAACATCAGCTCGCAGTCGTCGCAGTCCAACTTCAAGGACCAGATCTCGCTGCCCACTTCGAGTCCGCACTTTGATGCCAATGGCGATACGGTGCGTCGACAGCGTCAGTCGACGGGTAGCGGCACCGTGCTTGCCTCGAGTGCGACGAACGGTGCGATGGGGATGGGCATGTCGCCATCGGCACGACCAACGTCGATTGGCTCGGCGGGTGCAGAGGCGCCTGCGCCTGCGACATCGGCTGGAGTTGGCAATGTTGCAGCTAGTGGGCCCGTCATGTCGCGCATCCAACCTGTGGATTTGGAGGGGTGGATCAAGAAGAAGGGCGAGCGATACAACACGTGGAAGCCACGCTACCTTGCACTCAAGGGTCCCGATTTGGTGATTCTTCGCGATCCACGCGCCGAGAAGATCAAGGGCTACGTCAACATGAAGGGATACAAGGTGATTGCGGACGAAAACACCAATCCGGGCAAGTACGGCTTCAAGATCCTGCACGAGAGCGAGAAGCCGCACTACTTTTCGTCCGAGGATCCCATCCTGGTGCGCGAGTGGATGAAGGCGCTCATGAAGTCGACGATCGGTAGGGACCATTCGTTCCCCGTGATTTCGAGCTACAACAATGCGACGATCAGTCTCAAGGAGGCTCAGAGGATGAATCCTCCCCCCAGGCCGCCGAGTCCGACGAGCAGGGCAAGGACGCAGAGGGCAAAGGCTAGACCTAATCCCGAACAGCTTACCGCCAGGGATGCGGCGATTTTGATGAACCTCACCTCGGGTCAGCCGACTAAGCCCGATGACCTTTAGCCAAGTCTTTCTCCCCAGTCTTTGTTCTTTAATGGTCACTGAATGTTTGCAACGACGAGCAACTACATTGCGTATGTGTGTCTAGAGGTCGGCGAAGAAGGTCTCTTTTGTAGGTGGCGATGGCTCGTCATCATCGTCGTCGTTTCCGTCGTCGTTTCCATCGTCGTCGTCGTCGTTGTTTGGATCGTCCGAGTCGGGGTTGGATGGTTCGACTGGAGCATCTGCATCGTCGTCTGCATCCACATCGTCATCTTCCGAGTCCGAAGGCAGGTCGGTGATGCCCAAGGGCGCATCTTCGTCGCCCTCTTCATCGAGCAGCGGTGTGAGGTCGGTGAGCTTGACTGCATTCGAGTGACCGATACTTGCGAGTGTATTGGCCTTGCGCTTCATCCTCTCCACCGGCAGTCCATCGTGGCTTGCAATAACGCCGAGTAGCTTCGAGGGTAGGATTTGGACGACGCGCACAAGGCCATCGGAGCTACCGGTGAGGACGGTCTCGTCATCGAGCGTCACCAGTGTATCCACCGAAGCGGGATGACCGGGCACGCGGTCTACGTGGTCGAGCAGACCGTGGGCGGGAGACCAGAGCGAGAGAATGCCGAGTTGGGTTCCGACGACGAGCTTCTGACTGCGCCGAATGGGGGTGATGGAGAGCAGCTCGTCTTCTTGGTCTTCGCTCTGCTCGAAAGACGTCGGTCCACTCGAACGTAGGTCGATCGAGGAGAGCGAGCCGTCGCCCGAGGTCACGATGAGTCGCGACCGCGATTCCACCTCGACCTCACCTCCAGAATCAGAGTCCGAGTCAGAGTCGGGGTGGAGAGATCGTTCGAGGGCGGCTTGGCGTGCGCGCTTGCGCTGCTTCTTGAGCTGACTCTTGCTCTTCTTGGCTTCAGCTGCCGTCCTGGGTTTGGGGACGGGCAGATCCGGCAGGTAGACAAGATCCGTGATCCAGTCAAAGTGATGATCCCACGATCGAACCGGTTTCGCACCCGCACCTCCGGGTTTACGCGGATCCCACAGCCGAACCACACCATCGTCATCGCCGGTAACCACCATGGTGTCGTCGATAGGCAGCACTCGACTCGGCGCCGCATCGTGTGCATCCTGCCAGCTCTGCACCACTTTCCCCGTCTCCGTGTCCGTGGCGTACAGCCCCTTGTCTTTGGATACGCTGTAGATGCTCGCACCGTCCGCGGCAAACGCCAAGCCGCGGCACGACTTCTTCGACGGTCGTGACACCCATACTTTTCGATAGAGCTTGCGCGACACTCGGGCATCGTCATCCTCTGTGGAACGTGCCTTCTTTGAGGCTGGCGATGCAGGCGTGCGCGACGAAGACGGCTCCGCCAGGTACGGCGAGTAGTCGACCAGCTGGATCTTGCCCGAGATGAGGCCGACGGCAATCAGATTGGCTTCGTCGTCTGGGTGGAAGCTCAGATCGAGCGCATCGCTGCTGAGTGGGATGTCCATGTCGCAACCGTCAAGCCAGTGGGCGACGAGCAGCTGTGAGTAAGATGAGCGACGGATGGAGGCGAGAGTGGTCGTGAGCAACGTCGCTGCAGAGGGACGAGGACAGGGTCCATCCATTTTTGCCCTTTTTCCCTTTTGCTTTCGGTCCAAGTTTGGCGAAGGGAAGTGCCAAAAAATCCAGTCGAAAAGTCAAGGAAAATCAGAAAAAATGCAGGCGGAAAAAAAGAAAAAAACCCCCCCTCGACGCACGGACGTGCAAAACCCCCCCCTCCCCCACGGATTGTTCGATCATTGACAGTCACAACGATGCGAAAAATTGGTCGGCTCCGATCAGATCACGTGTGCGCTGGGGCGGCAGTTGTGGAATCGCTGCATGGCAGCCTTTCTCGCCATCATCTCTACTATCTTCTCCACACCACCGCCGCCGCGCTTCTCACCCACGACCACACCGAGCACGGCACCACATCTACATCTCTCTCTCACACACGCATAAACAGCAGCAGCTTCATCTGCATTCGTACGCCCAATATGCCTGTTCCTTTCGAGGCTGTCCTGCACATGGGTTCGTTGCGCCGATCATTGCTCGCCTTCTCCTCACGCCGAACGCATTTGCTGACTCTTGCTTTCCCTCGCTCGCTGAACGTGCGCAGGCATGGTGGTCGTCATGTTTGGCGTCGCCGGTACCGGATACAACGTCGTTCGTCGACTGGCTGAAGATGGCAAGGTAGGTCTCCTCCCCCACCCGGGACATTTAGCGTGATGGAGATGACGACTGACGTGGCGTTGGATGCACAGCCCATTCGACACTCGCTCGACGACTGGGAGCGCATGATGATGAAGCGCGACGAACGTCTCACCGGCAGCTTGAGAGGCCAAACTGTAAGTTCCTCAACTCCGGCATACTCCAAGAGCCCAGATTCCTGACGACTCTTCTGGCCTGCGTCATGACAGACCAACCCGATAGCGCCAAAAGAGTTTGCGACCAATTCCGCCTGGGCCACCGAAAAGCTCTCCTAGACGTCGCCGCCAACCACGCACACATCCCGTGCAGCTCTACACACTGCAATCGCATTTCGTTCCCGACAACACCCGGTCAAAACGCATGGGTTAGAGTTCACAATGTAAAGTCGAGCACGGAGGGGACTACTTCCATACCTCGACGCGGCGTCGGAGGGTCTCGCGCACGTTGATCTTGTTGGCGTCGATGGCGAGCGTCTGCATGAGCGCGGAATACTCGTCTGTGGCGTGCTCTTTGTCCGAGTCGAAAGCGATCTGGACGGCCTTTGCGAGTGTCACATGTCCCGCATCCGGCTGTTGGCTTTGGCCCTGCTCGGTGCTCGGCAGCAGGGTGAGGAGCGTTGCGGTATCCATGGCTGGTTTCCAAGGCGCGTGAGGTTTCCTACCAAACCGACTGCCGGCATTGTTGCTCGAAGCTAGTTCGTCGACGACGCCAAGCCAGCCGCGCTCGAGGTCGCGCCGGAAGCGCATCGCACCGGCATAGTTGAAGCGTTTCGATCCACCCGCCATCACAACGCGCTCCACCAGCGCCGTCGCGAGCGAGCCTGCAATGTGGCGGTAGATGGGCAGCATGGCTTCGCGCTCCAGCACCCCACACAGATGTCCGAGGTGCGACGAGAAAATCGCCAGCGCAGCTACAAGCGCCGGGGTCGGATACGCCTCGAGCTCGTCTTGGTCATCGCCGGCTGCAAGCAGGGATTCCTGATCCCAACGTCGCACGACGTACGGTCGCAGCTGCTCGAGCGTCTCGCTCACCACCAATCGCTCGATGACCAGAGTGGCACGCTGCGCAATGTCGCCAAACTTGCGACGCGGCTCCTCCCACACGCCAAAGCTGCCGAACTCGTTGAGCACCTGCTTCTGTCCGACGTCGGTGATCTTGGGTGTGCCCACGCCTGCGTCGGCGCTCGGCGCGTTCGATCCGGCGGCGAGCGGTCGTGCGACTGCAGCACCGCGCTTGAGCCCGCGTCGGAGGAGCATGCCGAGACTAGCTGCGTCGAGCTCTCTGTTTTCCTCGTCGCCCTCGTCCTTGCGCATGCCGAGCGCAAGTGCCCGGCCTTCGTCGGTCGAACCCAGGCTCTCGGCCATCTCGACAAACGCGGCGGATTCGGACCAGCGCTCGATCTCGCTGCACACGTACTGGGCCGACAGCAGCGCCTTGACGAGCCGACCGAGTCCACGCAGCCCCTTGACCATGTCCGAATCCGACGCGCCCGAGACAAGCGCAGCAGGGCCGGTGCTTGCGACGATCTCGCCAGGCATGGCGCGTGCAAAGGCGGACGAGAGCGACTCGAACGCATCGAGGCTGCGCGTGAGGCGCTGCGCATACGACCGCAGGATGGGCAGCTGAACAATCGCCACAAACGCCAGCCGCTGCGACAGCGACGGCAGCGGCCGGTAGCGCTCCGACACCGACTCGAGCACCTCCATGGTGGATCGCGCCGACTTGGTGGTGCGGCTCGATTCGTGCGTCGAGGTCGAGTTGCCATCGAGCGTGGAATAGAAGACCTGCTCATCGTCGTCTGCCAGGCTGTCGGAGCTACCGATGGCCCAAGCATCAGGCGCATCCATGATCTCGTCGAACCGCTGCAGAGCAAAGTGCTTCTCGCCGTCAAGCCAGCGCTGGAACCACTCGGGGTTGCCGAGGATGTCGTCCGAGATCTTGCGCACGCCTGCGCCCGAGAGCACGCTGAGCGCGGGCGGAAACTGCGTCTCGAGGTCGGCATCGAAGGTGAGCGCCTGGAACACGGTATGCGCCAGCAGGCTCGGGTGATCGAGCAGCGCCGGCATGGTCGAGGCGAGCTTGCGGCGCAGCGGCGTGAGCAGCGCATGGAGCAGCTCTGCGTACGTGTCGATGTGTCGATATGCGCGATGCGACACGGCCCTGTTGGCGTAGTGACGGTTGAGACGCGCAACGGCACCGCCTGAGCCTGGCACGCCGTGGGCAGCGGGGAGGAAGAGCGGCGCGTGGGAGCGGATGAGCGCGGCGATGTGCGAGAGGTACCACTCGGGCTTGTCGAGACGGTTGGTGGAGCGGTCGCCGTCAAAGTGGTAGCGGAAGCGGAGCAGCATGGGTTCCACCAGGCACTGGGTGGTGAGCAGCGGCTGGTAGGCATCGCTGGCCGCGGCATCGGATTTGGCGTTGGTGGGCTGCGACTTGGACGGCGGCTTGGCGGTAGCTCGTCTGAGCAGGCCGAGATGCTCG